AGGAGCAGCTGGGACTCAAACCAGCACCCATATGGGATGCTGGTGCTGCAGGCTGGGGCTTTAACCCACTGCACCAAAAGCGCTAGCCCTGCTAGCCAACTTTTTAAAAAAGATTTGTTTATTTGAGAGAGAGAGAGTTATAGAAAGAGAGGGAGAGACAGAGAGAGAGGTCTTCCATCCACTGGTTCACTCCCCAGATGGCCACAAAGGCCAGAGCTGAGCTGATCCGAAGCCAGGAGCCAGGAGCTTCTTCTCACACAGTTGCAGGGGCCCAAGCACTTGGGCCATCTTCTGCTGCTTTCCCAGGCCGTAGCAGAGAGCTGGTTCAGAAGTAGAGGAGCCAGGACTCGAACCAGCGCCCATATGGGATGGCAGCACTGCAGGCAGCGGCTTTACTGCTACACCACAGCATCGGCCCCACTAACAAACTTTCATTTCTTTATAAAACCCGGGCCTCAGGTATTTTTGATGCAGCAGTAGAAAGGCGCAGGAGGACAGAGCCTCTCCAGTTCACGGCTGTGAGGTTGAAGCCCCGGCAGAGCATGGCCTGGGTGATACCGTTTTCTGAGCAGGTTCTCTGCTCGGCTCTCACCCGGGAGTGTGCACTCCCACCTTCAGCTTCCGCCCTCTCCCTGCTCCACTTGGCACACCCTCATGCTCTTTGTGTGTTTGTTGTTTGTTTCCTGTCACCCTCACTAGCACGTTGAGCTCCCAAAGGCAGCCACTGTATTGTAGCCACTGGGCAGTGCCTGGCCGGAAGCAGGGGTTCGACAAACAACGGCTGATAGAATTACACCGCGAGCGTCCGCATGCACCTGTACTCTGTCTCTTGCCCTGCGTGCGGGCAGCATCCGAGCTGGGAACAGAGCTGGAGCTGCAGCCTTTCCTTACCGTGCGTCCTCGTTGACTCTGTCACTGTCTTCCGTTTTTCCGGGATGCACACGGAAGGTCTGGGGCCAGCTCACCCCTTTGTGTTTTGTGCACACACCTCAATTCGGGGATGTGCCACAATGTAGCAGAGAAGCCGGAAGAGAACCAGCTGACAACCCTCCGTTCATTTTTTTGTTTGTTTGTTTGTTTGTTTGTTTGTTTTTTGACAGACAGAGTGGACAGTGAGAGAGAGAGACAGAGAGAAAGGTCTTCCTTTTGCCGTTGGTTCACCCTCCAGTGGCCGCGGCGGCCGGCGCACCGCGCTGATCCGATGGTAGGAGCCAGGTACTTATCCTGGTCTCCCATGGGGTGCAGGGCCCAAGCACTTGGGCCATCCTCCACTGCACTCCCGGGACACAGCAGAGAGCTGGCCTGGAAGAGGGACAACCGGGACAGAATCTGGTGCCCCAACCGGGACTAGAACCTAGTGTGCCGGCGCCGCAGGCGGAGGATTAGCCTAGTGAGCTGCGGCGCCGGCCTCATTTTTTTTTTTTTTTTTAAGAATTATTTACTCGAAATGCAGAGTTACCGAGATAGAAGGAGAGAGAGTGAGAGAGAGAGAGAGAGTGAGAGAGAGAGAGAGAGATCCTCCATCCACTGGTCACTCCCCAAATGGCTGCAGTGGCCAGCACTGGGCCAGGCTGCAGCCAGGAGCCAGGACTTCCGTCTGGATCTCCCCTGTGCTTGAAGGGGCCCAACTACTTGGGCTCTCTTCTGCTGCTTTCCCAGGCACATTAGCAGGGGGCTGGATCAGAAGTGGAGCAGCTGCACTAGAACCCGTGCCCACATGGGATGTTGGTGCCCCAGGTGGTGGCTTAACCTGCTATGCCCCAGCGCCAGCCCCCAAACAACCCACTCTTAAGAGAACTAACTGGGGTCTGGGAGAACTACATTAATCCCTTCCATTGGCTCCACCCCCTAAAACTTCCACCACCTCAACATCCCTGCGCTGGGGACCAAGCTTCCAGCACGTGAACATTTGGGGGACCAGCTTCCAGCACGTGAACGTTTGGGGGACACACACAGATCACCCCAATCCACAGCAGCAGGACCGCTCAGGGTATCTGAGGCAGACATAGACGGGTGATGGACTGTAGGAGCGGGAGGAGCCGTTCATGGCAGAGCCCCTGAAGTGTCACCCCGAGAGAGGCTCCAGACCAGTGGCTCCAGGCTCCCAGACCACTCGCAGCGGTGCCTTGACTCCGGGAGCTTGGTAGAGACGCACAGTCTGGGTCCCAGCCTGACCTCCTGTATCAGCCGCTCTGGGGGTGGAGCCAGCAATCTGGGTTTTCGCGAGTCTTGCCGGGAGTTCTGGTGCAAGTTAAGACAGGAGAACGGCTGCTGTGGACCGTCCTCATTTAACGCCCAGGGATACTGAAGCCTGGAGCAGGACGCGACCTGGCAGAATTCACACTTTGCACGGCCGCACGGCCAGGACTGGCGCCCCGGTCCTGTGGCCTCAGGCCTGGGTTCTTGCTGCTCAGCGAGGCTGCCTCCTGCTGTTGCCTTGTGCAATCAGAATGAGCCCATTCCGAGCACTGGGCTGGATTTCCAGCACCACACAGTGGCTGCCTCCCTGGCTTTCTTTCCCGCAGTGTCCCTCGGAGCTGTTTCTACAAGGCGTGCACGCAGGGTGGGGCCAGGCGACTGTATCTGCCGTCCCTGCAGGTCTCCGGCAGGGCTGGCACAGTGTCGCCGGCTGCTCTGCTCTGAGCTCAGGTCTTCATGCGTGGCACTCATGGTCAAGGGTCCTCCTGGGCGTGGGGGGTAGGGAACACGTGAGGGGCAACCGGTGTTGGCTCGGGAACTTGGACCCTGACAATTCCCCGCGATCACGCGCTTCCCTCACCGGTGTGTTCATTGGGCACAGTGGCTTCCCGTCCTTTCCCAGTGTTTTCCTCATGTGCATATATTTGTGTGTATTTCTTTTGGTCAAAGCTGTGCTGATTGCAACAAAGACCTTGCCTAGCGAGGACCTTTCCGGATCACCCCCGGAGACGCTGCACCTGTCAGATTCTTTAAAGAGGAATGCTCCATTTGAGGCGAGGTTTAGCTTACAGAGGTTGTCCGCGCAGGACAGTGCCTGTGCACCTGTGTGCCTGCACCTTTGTTCTTTGCAGAGCTGTTTTTTTTTTTAACTTTTATTTAATAAATATAAATTTCCAAAGTACAGCTTATGGATTACAATGCCCTCCCCCGCCCCCCAGCAGAGCTGGGTTTTAGGATCAGAGAACAGAGGGTTTGAGTAGAACAGTGCCGCTTAGATGGATGCATTTTTGCAAAAGGCCCCAAGGGCTTTCTGTTGACCCCAGACCCCTTTGGTGAATGTTGTCAGCCTTCTCCACCCGCAGGATTCGAGCAAGTGCTGATGGAAAAGCCTGGAAGAAAGCCACTGGTCTGTACTCAGCACGGCAGACTCCCTCCTTGTCAGTATTCCCTAAATAACACAGTACAGCAGCGTTTACGCTGCCTTACATCTACAAACAACCTAAGTCATGATCCATAGTACGGGGCAGGATGTGCACAGGTCCCACTTCATGTAAGGGACGCGAACACCTGTGGATCTGGGCACCCACGAGAGGCCCTGGAACCAATCCCACACAGATAGCAAGGGACAGGTGCAGAGGGCATTTGTCATACCCTCACCTATGCCTGGGGCGGGTACAGTGATGAACGGGACACATACCTGCTTTCTGGATTCAGCTTATCAGCCCAATGGTGCCATTACTTGTATTAAAATACTTATTTTTTACTTGCTGCAATAGGTATGTGAAATGTAAAATTTACCATAACCATTTTCAAGTAGCGTTAGGCACATTGACATTTGTGGTCTCTCGCAATTCCTTTTGCAAGATGCAGACTTGTTCCCTTTCCATCCGTAACTCCTCAGTCGCCTCCCCCAACCCCAGGCAGCCACCATCCTACTCTGTCTCTGAACGTGGCCACTCGGGGGCTTCCTGTAGCGTTGGGCTGTTTGCCTCGGCCTTACTTCACTTAGTGTAACGTCACTGATGCTGTTGCACATGTCAGCGTTTCCTTTCTTTTCAAAGCCTGTCCCATTGTACGTGTTTTCCACATTCTGTTTATCCACTCAGCAGGCACCGGGCTGCTTCCGCCTTCGGGCTGCCGTGAATGCTGTTTCGGTATGGACACGGGTGTGGACACGGGTGTGTCAAGAGCCTTTTGTGCACCTGCTTTCAGCTCTTTCGGGTGTATACCCAGAATTCCTGGCTCACGAGGCATTTGCGGTTTTCCTGCGTCTAGAGGCTCCTCCCAATGGCCGTCCACAACAGGTGCAGCATTTTGCCTTCCCAGCACTGGTTGCACAGGGGTTCAGATTTTCGGCACCCTGGCCAGCACTTGTCATTTTGTTTCTTTTTGTTGCTGTTTCTGTAGTAGCCATCCTAGTGGGAGTGAGGTGGCGCCTCACAGCTTTGATTTTCCTTCCCCTAAAAATTGGTGATGTTGGGCATTTTTATATCTTCTTTGAAGAAATGTCTATCCACGTCCTTTGCCCATTCTTAAACAAAGCTGGTTTTTCTTTGTTTCTGTTGTCGAATCATGGAAGTGCTTTCATATTGTGGCTATGAGTGACTTCACAGACATAGAATCTGTCAATATTTTCTGCCTTTCTGTGGTTGCCTTTTAACTATGTTGATAGCGTCCTGTGATGCACAAAGTTTCTCATTTTAATGTAGTTCACCTATTTTTACTTTTGGTGTTTGTTCTTTTGTCATAGCCAAATCATCATTGCCAAGTCCAATGTCATGAAGATTTTCTTCTATGTTTTCTTCTAAGAGTTTTCTACTTTTTGCTTGATATTTAGGTCTTTGGCTCATTTTGAGATAATATCACATATGGTCTCAGGAAAGAGCTCAACTTTAACATTTTGCATGTAGATATCCAGTTTTCTCAGCACCATTCATTAAGAAAACTTTTATTCTCATTGATTGGTCTTGGTATCCTTGTCAACAATCTGTTGGCCAGTATGTGAGTGTTTACTGTAATTTACTTGGAAAAGACACGAGTGCATATTAACACGCATGTGTGTATCCCTCCCCCAAATTTAGGCAGTATCACCTTGTTTGCAGTCATTACAGTCATCCTGGGATGCCTTAAAATTGGGTACTTCGTTGGATTTTCTGAATGCTTGTCAGCCACTGAAGGAGTTTTCCCTGTCACGCACGCAGTGCACACCCTCCTGCAGGTAAGTCCCTGGGGTTTGGTTGTGCTGTGCCCCTGGGAAGTGTACCCCTGGATTCCTGAAACCCACATCACCAAGAAGTCTGGCAGGGCTGCTGCTTGGGATGCCTGTATCCCACACCAGACTGCCTGGCTTGAGTCCCGGCTACTCCACTTCTGATCCGGGTTGCTGCTAATCTCACCATGGGGCCAGCAGGTGATGGCCCAAGGATTTGGGTCCCTGACACCTGGATTGAGTTCCAGGCTCCTGGCTTCAGTCTAGTTCAGTCCCGGCCATTGCAGGCATTTGTGGAGTGAACCAGTGGGTGGAAGATCTCTCTGTCTGTCTCTCCATTTCTCTGCCTTTCAAATAAAATGAACGTGAATGAATAAATAAGACATTTGGCAGGTGCAGGCAGTGTGAGCTGCTGTAGACTTGCTCAGTGAGCCCCAAGGTGCACCTGAACCCATCTCTGAGCCTCAGCGCTTTGGCTGCTTCCACTGTAGGGCGGGGCTTGGACATTTTTGTGAGAATCCTATGGGGCAGGAAATCCTGCCAAGCCAGAGCCCACCAGAAAAGGTTTGTGGGGGGGAGATCTTATTTTCTGGGAATAGGCCTAACAGTTTTATGAAGATTCACATAGAATACAACTCCCCCATATTATTGTACAATTCAGTGGTTTGGTGTACTTTTAAAGTTGTGTGACCTTCACCACGATCTTTTTTAGAACATTTTTATCACCCTCAAAAGAAGCCTTGTGCCAGGGGGCCGGCGCCGTGGCTCACTTGGTTAATCCTCCGCCTGTGGTGCTGGCATCCCATATGGGTGCCAGTTCTAGTCCTGGCTGCTCCTCTTCCAGTCCAGCTCTCTGCTGTGGCCCGGGAAGGCAGTGGAGGATGGCCCAAGTGCTTGGGCCCCTACACCCACAAGGAAGACCAGAAGGAAGCTCCTGGCTCTGGATTGGCATAGCTCTGGCCGTTGCGGCCACTTGGGGAGTGAACCAACGGAAGGAAGACCTTTCTCTCTTTCTCTCTCTCACTGTCTAACTCTACCTGTCAAAAAAAAAAAAAAAAGAAAAAAAAAAGAGAGAAGCCTTGTGCCAGGACAACCACCCCTCAGGTCCCTAAAACACTTTTTCATTAGCTCCATGTGGATTAAAATCTTTTAGAAATATATGAGGTTCTTTTTCTTCACATTGGTGGGCTTGGTGTGGCTCAGAAGAGTGGATTTTCACAGATGTAGTTTAAATGTATAGCTTAGAGTCAGAAAGATCTCATGAAAATAATTCTGGGTGGGCTTTCAGTGTGGGTTCATCCTTGGCTCCATCCCTGGTCATGGCTATGAGAGTTAAGGCCAGTGCCATGGCCAACTTTCCAGCATGCAAAGTATTTTTCATTGGTATCTGTGTAGCCCCTTTAGCAACTCCATGAGAACAGGTGTGGGATTGTCACCATTGTTTTTTTCTTTACCTTTTTTTTTTTTTTTAAGATTTATTTTTCTGACAGAGTTACTTACAGAGAGAGAGGGAGGACACACACACACACACACAGATCTTCCATCCTTTGGTTCACTCCCTATATATTTTTTTTTTTTTTGACAGGCAGAGTGGACAGTGAGAGAGAGAGACAGAGAGAAAGGTCTTCCTTTTGCCGTTGGTTCACCCTCCAATGGCCGCTGTGGCCGGCGCGCTGCGGCCGGTGCACCGTGCTGATCCGATGGCAGGAGCCAGGAGCCAGGTGCTTTTCCTGGTCTCCCATGGGGTGCAGGGCCCAAGCACCTGGGCCATCCTCCACTGCACTCCCTGGCCACAGCAGAGGGCTGGCCTGGAAGAAGGGCAACCGGGACAGAATCCGGCGCCCCGACCGGGACTAGAACCCGGTGTGCTGGCGCTGCTAGGCGGAGGATTAGGCTAGTGAGCCGCGGCGCCGGCCTCACTCCCTATATGGCTGCAGCAGGCAGGGCTGGACCAGGCTTAAGCCAGGAGCCAGAAACTTCATCCAGGTCTCCTCTATGGGTGGCAGGGGCCCAAGTGCTTGGGCCATTGTCTGCTGCTTTCCCAGGTACATGAGCAGGGAGCTGGATCCTAAGTGGAGGAGCCAGGACTCAAACTTGTGTCCTTATGGGATGCTGGCATTGCATGGGGGCAGCTTAACCCACTGTGCCATACACTGGCCCTGCCATCTCTTCTTTCTTATCGAGTACATTTGAGGTGTAAAACAGGATACTTGGATATAGAGACACATAAGGAAGTGATCACTGCAGTCAAGCAAATTAAAGGTCTGTCGTCTCACGCAGGTACCTGTCTTTCCTTTTTTGGTGGTAAGAGCACTTAAGATCTAGTCTCTCAGTACCGGAGGCAGGCCGACTACCCACCATGCTTGTGCTGTGTGTCAGATCTCGCTAGGTCTTCTGATCTGCACTGTGTGCCTGCAACTCTGCCCCCATCACACTTCCCGTCCCTTCCCCGCGAGCCACCCCTCTGCCCTCTGTACTTGTGTCTTAATGTTTATTTTCGTTTGTTAGCTTACACACATGAATGGGTTCATGCATGGTGCCCGTCTTCTTGTTTCTGGGCGATTTCCCTTTGCATAGGGTCTCCGGGTTTGTCCATGGTTGCTGCCAAGGGCAGGATCCGCCCGAGGGCAGAAGCTGGAGGTCGGAGGACACGCCTGAGCTTCTCAAAGTCACCGCCCAGAGCCCCTGATTATTCCTCCTCAGGAAAATAGTGCTGGGACAGCGGGGACTTGCTCTTTCTGGGTCCAGTGATGCCATTCTAACAACTCCGTCTTCAACAGTTCCAAGGGGTCTGCAGGTGTACACGCGGCTGACTCACCAGATGGTTCCGGTGAGCCCTAGGCTGCTGTTCCTTGGGATCAAATGCCTTCTCCGGCGGTGAAGCTCTCTGCTGCGAGGGGCCCAGGGAGCTCAAATGCACTGCAGCTCGGGGGGAGGGGGGGGCTCGAGAGGGGCCTCCTAGCGGGGCCGTCTTGCACCCAAAGCTGTGACGCATTGAGTCCCTCAAGTTCACAGCTGAAACCCTGCCCTCACTGGCTCAGCACATGTAAGGTCATGTGACAGTGCCCTTCTGAGATGAGGATGCCAGGACGGAGACAGGAGGGATGACATCCATTTATAAACAAGTAGAAAGCCTTCAGAAGGCACTGACACCTTGAACTTGGGCTCCCAGCCTCCAGGACTGTGAGAGGATAGATTTCTGTTATCCAAACCACCCAGTGCCAGCAAACCAACACAGGGAGGGTCAAGTGCCTGCTCTGTTCCGGGGAGCCGTATCCCTCGGTGATGTCCTTACAGTGATGCCAGCATTCAGGGGAGAAGAGTTTTATTCATTCACTCCACGCCTAAGGCTGGGGCAGACGCTGCTGTTGGTACTGGGGATCCAGGGCGGAGCTGCCTAGTGGCTGTTCACCTGCTGGGGGCCAGAGAGTCCCTGAGTGAAAAGGGCAGCACAGGGGGTATGTGGCCAGCTTGGGTCTATGGGGGAGCATCCCAGAGCCGGTGGGGGCGAGGGGAGAGCATGGGGTGGTGGGGTGTCTTTGGGATGTCCTTGGTGGTGGCGTCTTGCCCTGGGATGGGGTTGGGGTAGATGTGTGGCTGCAGAGCTGAGCTGGGCTTGGGGCACTGGCACACACCGGAGCCCCCATTTGGTCAGCCCCTAGCTTGGCCTGACACTGCGATTTCAGGCAAATTACTTAACATTTCTGGGTCTCTCGCGTCTCATCTATGAGGTGCAGAATGGAAAAGATATTTTTAAAAAATGGAGTATTTAAACATTCTAGTTATTTATGAGAGTGAGAACAAGAGCGAGCCACCTGGCTTACTTTCCCAATGCCTACAATGGCCAGGGCTGGGCTGGAGCTGGAGTTGGGAGCTAGGAACTTGATGCAGGTGTCCCACGTGGGTGGCAGGAGCTCAGCCAGGTGTGCCCTCACCCGTGCCTGCCAGGTCTACACCAGCTGGAAGCTGGAGTCAGGAGCTGGAGTGGGGAATTGAACCCAGGCACTGCCATATGGAATGCAGGCTTCTTAACTGTGGGGCCAAACCCCCGTCCTGTTGGTAAACACACAACGTAAAGTTGTCATCTGAGCCATTTTACATGTACAGTGTACAGGCTTTGTTGTGCAACCAATCCCCACAAATTCTTCACCTTGCAAGACCGAAACTCTGTCCAGTCAACCATAGCTCTGCATTTCCCTCTGTCCCACCCTCTGGCAACCACCATGCTGCCTGCTGTCACTACGAACTTGACCCAGGTGTTTTATACACGTGGAATCATGCAGAACCATCCTTCTCCGATTGACTTGGGTCACAAGGTTTGATGTCCAAGCTTCGTAGCTGTGTGAGAATTCCCTTCCTTTTCAAGGCTGGGCACTGTTCCCCTGCAGGTGCACGCCACCTCTGTCCATCCGCTCATCCGTCAGTGGGCACGGGGGTCTCTGCCACTTCCTGCCTCTGGGGAATGGTGCTGCGGTGAGCAGGGTGCCCAGCATCTAACCTGCTTGTGGTTGTTTTGGGTGCATACCCAGAAGTGGTATTGCACACGGTAATTCTAACACACATGCACACACACACACACACACAGTATAACACGGCTGAAAAAAAAGTGGGAGGGGAGAAAAATGCACCTTTTAGTGCAAATCGGCATTTTTTTGGTCCTTTCTGTATTCCCCCTATTCTTGTCGATGTTTTACACAGAAGATGCAGGATTTTCTATTCCAAGTTTTTTATTTAAAGAATCCTAAACCTTTTGTGCTGCTGTATAGTCTGTATAAAAAGCACCATTACATGGCTGCCTAATTTACAACTCATGGGTAAATACTAATTTCCTTGACTGTTCTACTGTTGGGCTGAACATCACTGTTTGCAAGGGTCACTGCTGTCTGCTTTTTAAAAAATATTTATTTATTTGAAAAGGTAGAGTTGCAGAGAGAGGGAGAGACATAGATAGATAGAGGTCTTCCATCTGCTGGTTCACTCCCCACATGGCTGCACTGGCCAGGGCCGGGCCAAGCTGAAGCCAGGAGCCAGGAGCCAGGAGCCAGGAGCCAGGAGCCAGGAGCTTCATCCAGGTCTCCCATGCAGGTGGCAGGGGCCCAGACATTTGGGTCATCTTTTGCTGCTTTCCCCAGGCCATTTTTTTTAATTGTGGAAGGTTTCTGGGAGAGTTATGCCCTAAAAGTCTCTCCTGGGCAAGATAGTAAATATTAGGCAAAACAACATGAAGAGGGTAATATGTGTGCCTTGCTTTGTCTGGTTTGCTTTTTCTAACTCATGTGCAGAATAAAGGTTAAATAGGACACGCTTGTAAAGCTTCCAGAGGCATTCGGCAATGCGGGACGCTCAGTCCGCGTTCTTGTCCAAAACAAAATCTGGAAAGTTTCTGAAGCTCCAGTGCCGCCTGGCGCACAGAGGTGCTCGGCAGAGTCGGCGGCCGAGCTGACAGTGCAGGACCTTACAGGCACCAGGTCCTGTTCGCGCATCAGCTCATTTCACTGCTCCCAGAGCCCTCCCTGGGGAGGCGCCTGTACCACCCCCAGCTCACAGACAGCAGAGCAGAAGCAGACAGGCTCCGACTTCTCCATCGCCTTACGGAGCCAGGGTTTGCACACGGACCTGGCACCAGCGTCTGTGCCCTCCACCCCTTCCCTGTGTGGCTGCTCGTGACCATTGGCCAGGGGTCTGGGAACACGCCCAAGGATCTTCGAATGTTCACAGAGAAATGGAATCTCAAGATAATGTGCATTTTCCATGATTTTTCTGGGGCTCCCTCTGACACAATAGAGTGAAAGAAAAGATCAGACAGAATTAATTCTATTCTGCATTTAAAGCAATCAACATTTGGCTTAATTTATCCATGAATAGTCTTTGGATGCATATGTGATATAAACAGGTTACAGGGTTTCATGCCAGGCAGGCTATCACCCCCACACCCGATCCTGTAGCAGACATCCTCAATCGATCACAGCACCCCATCCTTCAGCAGACCTCCTCAATCAATCACAGCACTGCTTCCTTCGGAACAGGGAGAACTCTCTGTTTCTCACCATCTGCTTCTGGATCGCGGCCCAGTGGGGAGGGGCAGTGCCGCCCAGGGTGAGGACAGCCAACCACTTGCTTCTCAGTGGAGTCACTGAGGTCCCAGTGTTTCCCTTCACTTTCAAGTTTTATAGCTTCTCAAGTGTGCAGGTGCAATGCTGGGCTTCCCACTGATGCACGTTTCTTTTCTTCCTTTATTTCTGTCTAGGTCTATTTTCTCTGGGGGCATGCAAAGGATATTATCCAGTCTTTCAAAACACTGGAAAGGTAAAACACTGGGGACGGTGGCTTTCTGTGTTGAATCTGGAGTTTGTTTGAACACACAAAGTGCACCACTGCCATGCTGCTTGAGTTATAAAACCTGAGCCCCTCCAGTCCTCAAAGATGTCATTCGTGCCAGGGAGACCTCCCGCTCTCAGCCCCTTCCTGGAGAAAGCCAGGGAAGCACGATGGGGCAGGCTGGAAGCTTTCACTCTGCCGTGTTAGGCACTTTTCCTTCCCAACCTCAGTTTTCTCACCTGTAAAATGGGGGTACTGATGTACCTGCCTCCGAGGACTGGACGAGGCAACTGCCGTAGAGCCTGCAGCTTGTGCCTGGTGCATGGTAAGGCCTTTGTACCAGCCGGCTCCATTGTTACCTCTGTCCACTGCTGTCTCGGCGATGGTGAGCACCGCGGGACAGAATCTGCGGATGACGGGATGTGCAGCCCAAATGCAAGGCGTGGGAAGGCACGGTGTGCACAGACGCACAAGTCAGGTGTCACTGCTTGCTTTGAGAGAAAAAAATCCCCCATCACATCAGTTCCCCATGAGCAACCGGAAGCTTCCAGCACCATTCAAGGTGACAGCTGATATTTAAAGATTGGTTTATCCATGGCACTGCTTAGAACTCGCCCAAGAGCCTACTTAATTAGAAATGGGTCTCATCAACTTGATGATGCAGGAAGCAGCCTCATCAGTAGGCACTCGGGCATCTCTCGAGGGCCTGCTGAGTTCCCGCACTGCTGGAGACAGGCGGGGATGAGGCCAAGGTATTCTGCGCTGTGGGGCTGGCATCCTGGAGCTGGCCCTGGGCCACCTGTGTGGTCCTCTGTGAGGTCCCAGGTGGTGGCCTTGGCAATGTTTTTTTTTTTTTAATTTTTATTTATTTATTTATTTTAAGATCCCAGGCCATTAAAAGGGAGCTGGATTGGAAGTGGAGCAGCCAGGACTTGAACAGGTGCCCACATGGGACGCCAGCACTGCAGGCAGTGGCTTTACCTGCTACGCCACAGCGCTGGCCCCTTGGCAGTGATCTTTAACCCCAGACTTACTTATACAAGAGCCCCCCCTCTTGCTGAGAGGGGAAGGGGCTGTCCTTTCCAGGATTGGGGGAGGGGACACGTGAGGTCCCCGACCCCAGACACCGAAGCTGGTAACTTCCACCCCGCACACCAGCCGGGGCGGGGGTGGGGGTGGGGGTGGGGCGATTCCCCCTGCACTACATGGCCGAGGCCGCAGGCTCCAGCAGTGAGAGTCTGCCCCAGGTTGCCAGCGCGCCAGCGAAGAGCCCGGTTCTCAGTCCAGCCCTGTCCCCACGGGTGCTGGGTGTGAGCGGCGTGTGTGTGTGCGGGTTGCCCGCTCCTCCTCCGCCTGGGAGCCTGGCTCTGCTCGCCGCTCCAGGCCAAGGCCTGTGGGTTTCGCTCCAGGCTGCAGGCTCCCCTTCGCTCGCTCCACAGTGCTACTCCTTAGGAATCGTTCTTTCCCGGGACGAAGCGGGTCGGCCCAGGGTGGGGGTTACGCGTCACCAGGCTGCACTGGGACGGCCCCAGTGTTGATGCCCCTCCCCCAGGCTCCCACGTGAGGCCGAGCCCCAGTGGGATGTGTTTGGGGGCAAGGCCTACAGGAAGTGCTTGGGTTTAGCTGGGTCAGGAGGGTGGGCCCCATGGGGGATTTGCGCCTTTATAAGAGGAGGAAGAGCGACTAGAGATGGGGAAATTGAGGCTCTCAGTCCAAGATCAGACTGGTGGCTGGGGAGGGCTGTCCTCCTGGCCTGTGCGTGGCTGTGTCCCCACCCGGCACGCACAGATCTGGGTCCCTTCCTTTTCCTGGAAGGACACCTGTTCTGGGGGCTCCGAGCCCCGCCCACGTGACCTGCATGACCCCCATGTCCTCCTTGACTCTCCAGATTCAGCCACACTGGGGACGGAGCTGGGGGCACGGGACACACCTGGGTCTCTCACATCCACTTGTCAGACACCTGATTTGCCTGACCGTCTCTGCTGCTGTTCTGAACGTCTGCTGTCCGGTGATGAACGTCTCCGGTTGTTTTCTTGGGTTGAACTCCCGAGAGTGGCTCTGGTGGGCTAAAGGCTTTGCCGTTCTCAGCAAACGGGCACGGAGCGGGGCGTGCATCACCGAGCACTCCCGGCTGCCCGGTGCCGGTGCCGGTGCCGGTGCCGGTGCTGACTTACAAAGCACTTCCTGGCACACGGGCTGCTTATGCAGGTCCCTCTCCTGACAGCCCCCTGGGGCTGGGGACAGTAGCAGGACTGTGAGCCCCGTTTAGCTGAGGCACGGAGCAGGCTAGCAAGTGCCCGGGGTTAGGAAGCTTGCTTGGGCGCAGCTCTGTGGGACCCTGACACTGACGGCCACTGCAGTGTCGGAGGGGTCTGCTTCGGTCGCTTCTTCGGTCGCGGCCTCAGGACCCTTCTGGCTAATTCCTTCTGAGCAGACGGGTAGCTGCCTTTGCCTGCCAGCTCTGTGCTACCCAGTCCTGCAGCCCCCCGGGCACACGTGGCTACAGAGCACGTGATCAGTTCCAACTGACGGCTGCTGTTGGTGCCCCAAACAAAATAGAAAATATTCTATGAATTTTTGTTTTTGGTGTTGATTCTTTGTTGACGTAACAATTAGATATTTGGGGCTTCACAAAATATTACTAGAACTGTTGTCACCTCTTCCTTTTTTACTGTCATTTTTGATGTGGCCACTAGAGAATGTGAAATCACACAGGTGGCTCCCATCTGCACGCTGCGCTCTCTTTTCATCAGGCTGCGGGGCCCTGGGCCACACATCCGGGCGTTTATCTCCAGAAGCTGTTATCTGAGCACCTGGTCACGCCCTGGCCTTGCTGGCTGACACGCGAGACGAGGCGGGAGGGGGAGCGACTTGAGCTAGATACCGATTTATCTCCATTCCCCCTGCTTTGCTTCTGGGGGAAAACTGTACAACATTTTTGAATTACCACCTTTAGATTTTAGACTTTGATTGCTCTAGAAAAAGTGGAATATTAGGCAACCCCAAACATGCGTGGCCACAGGGAACTGGAGCTGAGTCGGGGTTGCTCTCTCTAGCTGGGTCTGGTCCCTCCGTTTTCTGCCGTCCCCACCACTCCCTATCGCTACCCTGTCCTCCCACCAGGCTCTCCTAAGGCTTGCAAACTTGCCACCCACAGGCGTAACTGCTCTCTTCTGAGTACTGCCCCTCGGTGGTTGAGTGCTTTTCTTTCCCCAAAGGTTGAGTTGAGAGAGACCAGGAGCAGCTCAGGAAGCCGTGCCTTCCTTGTGGTCTGGGTTTACGGGCATGAGAATGTTCCTGGCGTGGGGAGGGAAGCCTGCCCGTGGCGTGCAGGGCCGTGTCCAGACCACGGGGACAGGAGATCGCCAGCCGGCAGGGAGAGCGGTTTGCAGCTGTGGGCGGGGCCGGGAGTGCGACAATGCCTTTTGGGCCGGGAGAAAGGAGAGGATAAAGGGGACCCGAGCGCATTATGAGTCAGAGAAAAGCCAGCCGGTGGGAGGCAAACAGCACTGTCTGCTTTGTGAACAGTTCTATAGAGGGCGGCCTGGTGCTGCGGGGCAGGCAGCTCGAGGGGCAGCAGGTGGGCAGAGCCCCAGGCACAGACGCCCCGCCCGGGGTTCTCTGTCCTTCCCAGTCGCGCCCGCACAGCGGCCTCCGGCAGCCGGGGTTCCAACGAGGAAAGGTCTTGCATGGGGTGGCTCACGGGAGCTCCACAGGGGCCAGCTGCAGTTGGAACTCAGAGAGGCGTGGTCAGGGCTAAGGCCACAGCTGCACCATTTCCCTGTAGGCAGGACGTGAGGACAAGTGGCCTGTTGGTGAGACAGAGAGGGAAGCGGGCTTCCCCTGGGCTTCCGCACTCCAGGGTCGGAGGGGCCGCCTCCTCAGACAGCTCTAAGTAGTGCGTCTCCCACGTCACTGATATTTACTGCACCTGCTACCTGCAAGGCTCACAGCTGATGCCCTGACGCCGCCCGTGGCCCACAGGTGCAGGGAGGCCGTGGAGAACTTGGAACAGACAGCGATCCTATGGCAGCCTCGCTCCTCACAGACTTCCCTCATTCTCATCTCTTTCATTCAGAAAGCAAGGGCTTTTTGGGCATGCCCCATATGCTGCACCTGACTGGACCGCGTGGCCATGCTGAGCTGCACAGTCTCCGGCCAGTTTTAGTTTTGGCGGCGAGGCAGAGAGCGGAGAGCTGGGAGTGCCCCCTCGACATTTCGAGCATTGCTCTTTCATTCCCCCCTCCCCTCACTAGTCTCTGCCTTCGCCCTAGGAAGTAGGGGGTGGGGGATGGGGTTGGTTGCTCGTTTTCCGCCAGCCAGTTCTCATCCCTGTAGCCCTGTTTCCAAGGTCAGCCTCTTCAAAGTCCTGTTGGGCGTGGGTTGGGTTCGAGCAGGTGCATGGTGAAGGCAGAAGGGCCAGGCTCTGCGGTTTTGGGAGGTCGCAAGGAGCTACCTCTCAGGGTCACACCCACCAAGCGCCGGAACTGCCCGGTGGAGCCAGGATGGCAGCTGAGAAGGAGGCGTGTGCATGCACGTGTGCGTGTGCATGTATGTGCACATGTGTGCATGCACGTGCGTGTGTGCATGTAGCTGCGTGTGTGCATGTATGTGCGTGTGTGCGTGTGCGCTCATGTGTGTGCAGGCACATGTGTGTATGTATGTGCGTGTGTGCATGTATGTGCGCATGCATATGTGTGTGTGTGAGACGTGTCTGTCCCACTGCCTAGGGCTTGGGGCTTTCCCAGGGCCCCCCTGGAGCCAGGTCTCTTGCTTCCAGGTTTGGGGTCATCCACTCGGTGTGCACCAACCTGTTGCTCTGGGCCAACAGCGTGCTGACCGAGTCCAAGCACCAGCTGAACCAGCACAAGGAGCGGCTCATCACTCTGGGCTTCGGGAACGTGACCATGGGTGAGTGGCGCCAGGCGCTCTCCCGCCACTCGGGGCACCCTGGGGACCCTGCCGATACCAGAATGTTCCGAGACGCGGGGGCAGGAGCCAGAGGCCTGCGGGTGCCCCTGAGTCCACCCAGCAGACAAGCCTCTGTTGTTGCAAAGCTGCCACACCTGCCCGCGCCCGCCTCTGGCCCGCCTCCTGCCTGCGAGAGCAGGCTGTGTGAGCTTAATGGCAGGGTTCAGGGCCCCGTGTGACCCCCGGCTTAGCACTTGGGGGCTGGTTCTCAGAGTCCAGTTTGCCAGAAAAAGAAATGTCATTGTTTCCAACGATGGGAGCTTGGTGGTTGCTTCTGTTTGTGTTTTTAATGAAGCCCCCACAGCCCCAGTGCCTTCTGCTAAGAGCGTGACTTTGGAACAATCCAGAGAAATCCAAATGGTAGGTGGCGGTGAGTTGAGGCCCACTGGAAGGCTTTCTTTCTCTGTACTTGGCTCACCGTTTTGGCCCACTTTTCTTGCCCCTTGCTCCTGTTCAAGAGCCTGTACCACTCATCTTTTTTTTTTTTTTTTTTTTTTTTTTTGACAGGCAGAGTGGATAGTGAGAGAGAGAGAGACAGAAAGGTCTTCCTTTTGCCGTTGGTTCACCCTCCAGTGGCTGCCGTGGCTGGTGCGCTGCGGCCAGCACACCGCGCTGATCCGAAGCCAGGAGCCAGGTACTTATCCTGGTCTCCCATGGAGCCCAAGCACTTGGGCCATCCTTCACTGCCTTCCCGGGCCACGGCAGAGAGGTGGCCTGGAAGAGGGGCAACTGGGAAAGAATCTGGCGTCCCAACCGGGACTAGAACCCCGTGTGCCGGTGCCGCTAGGTGGAGGATTAGCTTATTGAGCCGCGGCGCCGGCCTTGTACAGCTCATCTTTGTATTTCTTCTGAGTTCTTTAGCATTTAGAATCAACCCCGTGTTGCTCAGAACACTGGGGCTGAGGGCCAAAGTGGATGCCTCCGGGGTTGGCCTTGTCTCCGGCACCCACCAGCTGTGTGACCCTGGGAGCCAGCCAACGTCTCTGGGCCTCCCTTGCTCAGGTGCAGAGGTCGGGGCCCGAGCCGGGTGCTGTGACGATGCTTTCCTGCTAACTACAGGAGGCATTTCCCGCAAGAGTATTTTTTTGAAAGAATCATTAAAAACTCACACACACAAATCATTCTCACAGAGAAAATGAGAAGGAACAGGGGAAGGAGGTGTAGAAGATGATTGAAGTCACCTGGGCTTTGCCGCCCAGGGAGAACCATCGTCAGCGTCTTAGCTTGATGCCCTTCCAGACTCTTCCCTGTCTACCTGCCTGTCGCCATGCATGGATGTTTTACAGAAACGGAGCCACCCTCTCTTCTCTCGTGTTGCACAGTCTCGTGTGAACACCGATGTGTTGCCAAGTAGTTTTCCCCTTGACCACTCAGTGTGTGGATTAGATGGGCTTGGGGACATGGAGGGGTCCGTCTGGCCGTGCATCAGTGGATACACGAGAATGAGCCCCGACACAGCCTCAGTGTGGTGGGAAGACCCCAGCCTGCACCCCGGGACACACTTCTCTGAGCTCCCCCACCTCTCCCCTCCATGCACTAACACCCTCTCCCCGCCCCCCGCGGGGCTCTGCTCTCCCCTAGTTCTAGACGACCACACCCCGCAGTGCAACTGCACCCCCCAGGCCTTCTGCTCGGCCGTCTCCTCCGGGATCTACTATCTGTACCCCTTCAACATCGAGTACCAGATCCTGGCCTCCACCGTGCTCTACGTCCTCTGGAAGAACGTCGGCCGCAGAGTCGACAGCCACCAGCCCCCGCAGATACGGTTCAGGTTTCACGGGGTCGTGGTGGGCTCCGCCCTGGGCCTCACGGCGCTGGCCGCCACCATCGGGGTGGTGGTGGTGTATCTGGTCCGCATCGGGCGCTCCAAAACCAAGAGCGAGTCGGCGCTCATCATGTTCTACCTCTACGCCATCACCCTGCTCCTGTTCATGGGGGCTGCCGGGCTGGTGGGCATCTGGCTGTACAGGACAGATGAGACGTCGCTGGATGAGTCCAAAAACCCGGCCCGCAAACTGGACGCGGACCTCCTGGTGGGCACCGCCTCTGGCTCCTGGCTCATCTCCTGGGGCTCCATCCTGGCCATCGTCTGTGCCGACACCTGCCCCCCCTACACCTGGTACAACCTGCCCTACTCCATCCTGGTGATCGCCGAGAAGTATATCCAGAACCTCTTCATCATCGAATCCATCCACCGGGAGCCCGAGACGCTCTCCGAGAACATCCAGACGCTTCGCGTGGTCACCGTGTGCGGCGGCGACACCACCACTCTCCCCCCTTCCGGTCTCCAGGGCAGCGGAGGTGTGGCCGGGGACGCGGCTCCCCAGGGCGGGGACAGGCCACCTGCGGCCAATGGCAGCGCGTGCCTGCGAGAAGCCGGCGGCAAAGCAGAGGGAGAGGGGAGCCGGGCGGCCTGCAGCCCCCTCTGCCTGCAGGGCGAATCCAAGAGGAGAGCGCTGAGAAACATCGCCGCCTTCCTGTTCCTCTGCAACATCGCGGTAACCCACATCTCGCGCTCATGAGCGCTTTCAAAACTGCGTTCCGCGCCCTTTGCAGATAGGGAGTGGAGGCAGCTGTCACAAAGCCTCGGAGGATGAGGCTGGGCGTTCAGAAAACTCGTGGAGGATGCAGACGACGAAGCAGCTATGCGTGGGTTTCAAAACTGCTTCGCCCCTCCTTCCATGTTCCACGGGCTTTTTGAAGCACCCTTGTGTGTTCCGCAGAGCCACTCACGGAGGACGACCTGGGGCCTCTCTCTAGGCCTCCCTAAGGCCAAATCACTGGGCAGGGCCATCTGCAGTCAGAAGCGCCTTGGGTCGGCCCAGCATATCTGACCCTTGCTGTAGGTCTCCTGGGCGGTAGGGGGCGCTCTGCAGGGAGGCGAACTGGCGGAATCTGGCCCCAGACAGACCCTCCTCTGCACTGAGCCCCTGTAGTTACAGAGGAAACCTGGAGAGAGAGGGAGATAGATAGATAGATAGATAGAGAATCTTCTATCTGTTGGTTCATTCCCCAAATAGCGGCAGTGGCCAGGGCTGGGCCAGACTAAAGCCAGGAGCCAGGCCCTCCATCTGAGTCTCTCACGTGGGTGCAGGGGCCCAAGCACTTAGGCCATTCTCCACTGCTTTCCCAGGCCATTAGCAGGGAGCTGGGTCGGAAGTGGAGCAGCCAGGACTCGAACCGGTGCCCGTGTGGGATGCCGGTGCTGCAGGCGGAGGATTAACCACGTGAGCCATGGCATTGGCTTGGGAGTGACTTCTACAAGTCCCTCAAGCCCATGCCTTTTGTCCACACCCCTGATTTCAACAGACCTCTTCAGCAACATCTGAAAATCCCCACTTTTCCTTTGCTTTTTTTTTTTTTTTTTTGATGGCCACATGAAGCCCATGGTTTGTGGTTTTGGACCGGCTTGCACACAAACAGCTCCATGGGAAACCCTGGACTCCAGGGGCGTCTGGTGCTGTGTTGGGAACGGAGGCCAGGCCCAGGGTCTGGGCCCTGGCAAAGGACGCTCTGTCTTTCCCTCCCCGTGTTCCGCGACTCCCCCAGGCATGGGAGGGAGGAGGGGAAGGTGGGGCCCCTGCCCTGAGATCTAGACCCCCATGTGCTAAGGGGGCTGTGAATTCTCCCTCCTCGACCCCATCCTCGAATCTGGTGGGCTCAGACATGGCAGAAATGACCCGAGGCAATCTCCAAGTCTGGGCTGTAGCAGCCTGGTAGCTTTCACGTCCAGTGACTTGGAAGGCTGGCTGCGGGGCCTCGGGACGCCACGTGCCACATCCAGCTACTCTGAGAGGGCGTGGCTTTGCCTTATTCTGCTGTTAGAAGTGCGTCACGGAGCGTGGCTCATGGCCCAGGGAGGGGACTGCACAAGGGCATGGTTCCAGGTGCTGGCATCACTGAGGTTGTCCCAGAGAGGCTGCCTGCCACCGGACAGGACGGCGGGGAGGTGTGGATGCGTGCAGTGGGAAGAGAGCCCAGGAGAATGTGGACAGCGGAAGGAACGGTGGCAGGGGAGGGAGTGAGAATGGAGCGCAAAGTTTCTTAGGTTCCCTGAACGACCAACATAATAGGCTATTGCTCCAGGCTTTGCAAGCTGAGCTCTGTTTGGTCTTCATCTCGGGTGTTAGTGTTCCCTTCTCACAGATGAGAAGACTGAGTCTGCTCAGGGCTGTGGGGGCGCATGGACTCAGGACTGACTGCAAGGAGAGGTGGAGGGGCAGAGAGAGGCTCATGGAGGGCTCCTGGGTTCCATGGCGTCCGTGGAGAGGGGGAGTGCTGTGCAGCCTCCCGCCACCCCGACAGGTGCAGCTCTGTCGGTGGGGGAATCCGCGTCCACCCTGGCAGTGCCTGGCATTGGCGTGGGGCCTCCAGGAGGCGCCAGGAAGCTGCTCGGGGTGACGGCGCCTTCTTCTTTCCCGCAGCTCTGGATCCCTCCTGCCTTTGGCTGCCGGCCCGAGTACGACAACGGCTTGGAGGAAACCGTCTTTGGCTTCGAGCCCTGGATCATTGTGGTGAACCTGGCCATGCCCTTTTCCATCTTCTACCGCATGCACGCGGCTGCCTCCCTCTTTGAGGTCTATTGTAAGATATAGCCGGGGTGGACGTGAGACCCGAGGGTGAGCCAACGAGACAGCATCATGGGAGCCACCTGGGAGTGGCCGGGTCGGGCGAACAGCGCCCGACAAAGGCCCCTTTTGTCTGCACTGGCTCTGTCTCCTCTGGGTGGCACGGTCCACCGCCCTGGGGAGTGTGGGCAGGGCAGAGCCAGACTGGGGTGCGGCTGTGTCCCTGGCCAGTTCATTCTAATCAAACTGTTTCTTCTCCATCTCAGCGAGACCCGCTGGTTTAGAAGCATGGGGTGCTGGGTTGGAAAAAAAAAATCCAGTCTGTCTTTCATCAAAAGCTTCTCCTGTTTGTAATTCACCGTGTGACACAGCCTTTCCCGATCGCCTGCATGGCCACCCGTCCTGAATGTCACCTCCACAGGGCCAGTGCACGCAGACACAGTCTTGGTGGCTTACACTTAGTTTCCGAGTGGACCCGGCTTTGAACGGTGTCACTGTTCTCATCGGGATGGAGATTTGTGCGAAGACATCTTCCCTACCTGGGAATCGGGCAGGTTTTACCTCTGATCATGTTGGTGCATGGATTCTTTGCATTGTGATCGACACACGAGACGGGTCGCAATAAATTCAATGTTGCATCCATTTTCTCCCGCTTAGCAATATGGCCCACACACTCTCAACCTTTATCGATAGCATCTTCTAGCTTTGTTGTAGTCCATCACGTGCACGCATCATAATTAACTTACTTTCCTATTACTGGGTTTTGAATGTTTGTAACTTTTGACTGTAAAATCAACCACTTCTGTAAAATATTTCCTACATTTGGAGTTGCTTCTTTAAGACATATGATCGAAGTCAGCATGCCCAAGTTCTTCCATAGCTATTTTAAAATCATAATAAAATTGGTTTTCTTGCTGCGAACATTTTGCATCAGAGTCTAAATACTGCCGGTGCAGGCAATGGGATCGAGTGTTCTGAGGACACGCGAGACGACGGCCCCCTTCCTCTCTCAGGCTCATCTGCGTTTGCTTTTTGTGGAATGATTCCAATTGTAAACAGGCAGAGGGACAAGAAGCTTATTTTATTTATTTATTTATTTATTTTATTTTATTATTTTATTTAATTTTAATTTTTTATTTTATTTTTATTTTTAAAATTTATTTATTTTATTTCACATAGCATAAAATGCTTCATGTTATTTTGAAAAAAAAAAAAACAACCTTTAAATGGCCCCCTGGACCCAAAATGAAGGAAAACCGTGTGTTCTGTGGGCTCTCAAGGTGGGGTCTTGTCCTCGTGGGGGAACCCGGGGTGTGTGCCGACCTTCTTGAGTTCACCACTAGGGGGCGCCCTGGCCCTCGTGGGCTGGCGAACCTTCTGCCCCAGGGAATCGCTGCAGTTTGGGGAACCCCTCCCTGCACACACACTGGGGCGGTTCCCCCAGTCCTGAATTTGCCTGTGGCTTGCTCTCTGTCTTCACACCCCAGAGTCCTCACTGATGTCCTAGGCCCACCCTTCCGGCCCTCCCGCGGGTCCTGCTCAGTCCACAGCAAGGTCCAGGGAACTACACCTCAGCAGGTTTCTCAGGCCGAATCCCTTCTAGAAGCTTCTGCAGAACACACGAGCCCACGTGACCCACAGCGTGCATCCCTCAACGACACGTGGGGATGGCTGTGCCAGGCCCTGATACTGGTCACTTGGGTGGCCCTTATAAACAACGCCGCGGTGAGCATCTCGGTGCCCACCGATCATTGCCCTCTGGAGTGCATTGTGCTGTGGCTGGGGGGCTGCCGCTTCCTCCTTTTTGGCTGATGCTCATCTCACCCCTGTCCCCCACACACCAGTGCAGCCTGCGGGCCCAGGGCTCTGCCATCACTATAAGAATGCTGGACACTATGGGTCGAGGCTGCGATGACGTTGTGTGGACACATGCATGGCACCACCAGTCCCAGCTTGGAAAAGTCAGCTCAGTCTGGCGGGGCTCAGAGTGTCCCAGGGGTGAGCCCAAGAGGGAGCCCGGAGCAGGCCCGTGGTCTCAGGTCGGCGTTTCAGCCAGCAGTGAGCGTCCGGCCTCCCCCAGCGCAGGCCCAGGCACTGCTGAGCCTTTTGAATCTGGAAGCAGATTTGAAAGCGGTAATGAGACACAGCTTCCTGTTGGTCTGACCCAAAGGCACGGGACTTGGGTACACGATGGGAGAGTCAGCTGGTCAACCCAGACTGGGGACTGGCCGGTGATGGCATGGGGCCAGGGACTCCCCTTCCCCAGAGCTGCTGGTTCTGCTCCTTGGAGAACTCTCATGTGTCCAGGGATGGTCCCTGCAGCATTGGGCAGCGGCCTCATGTCTGCCGAGGAGAGGGAGTACACCCCAGTCTCCCATCGGGGCACTTCCCACGAGTGAAGGGGACAGGGCCAGGACTGCGTGTCTCTGAGTGGACAGGCCCCGAGAACAGAGCTGCGTGGGAGACGGGGCAGCACAGGGTGTGGCTGGTGGGGCCGTTAATACGATGCTTTGAAACCGGCTGAACAATCCTGACGCCTAGGCTCTGCTGAGTCCCCAGAGTTCATGTGTTAGAGACTGAACCCCCAAAGGCACCCACTGATGGTACTGCAGGTGAGGCCTTGGACTGTCATGAGGTCACGAGGTGGGGACCCTCTCTCTGCCACCCAGTTGCCACGGCCCATCCATGCTAACATCCCACTCGCGGGCTTCTGCCTCTGAACTGCAAGGGGTGAGTGGAGGCCGTGGCTGGGCCGCCCCGCTGGAGGCATGTCATTGTGGAGGTTGGAGCTAACTGGCACTTAGCTGTTTGTACCTGGGGTGTCCATGCCTGGGGGCCTGAGCTCTGCCCTGAGCCCACGAATCCAGTCTGGAGAGTCTGGGAGCAAAGTTAAGAGCCGGGCCGTGCAGCACCCCCGCCACTAGAAGACACCCCTCCCTCAGTGCAGTCTCCAAAGCATTGACCCAGACCCTGTGCGCATTCCCCAGCAGCTCTTGTCCGGGGGGGGGGGTGTCATGTGACTCCTTTGTGCCCCCACCAAGAACAAGGAAGCCCAGCTTCAGTAATGCTGGCTTGGCCCTTGGCAGTGGCGGGGCAACCTGCATGCACACGGAGCACTTCCAGGGTCCCCCTCGACCCGTGCCTGCGTCCCTGGGCCACAGCTCAGAGCCCACCTGGTGAGGGATGCATTGCCACCTCGCTGCGATTTAGGGAGTTCTTGCGCTCACCTGCATAGCCGGGGACGCTGGAGCCAGTCTCTAAAGCCCCATCGGCTCAAGAAGAAAGGCAACTCGGTGAAAGTATTGGTCCAGAAGCTGCTCGGGTATTTACCCCCAGAACAGGCCGGTCACTCACTTGTTAGCCAAGGGCAGAATGGGGCACTTGTCCTACCTCGGGGATGGACAGCGGGGAAGCGAGCCCTGCTGTGCAAGAGAAGGACCAGCAGGGGGCGCCAGCGCGCTTCCCGCCGCGTCCGCGGGTAGGAGGGCAGTGGCCTCCAGCGTAACCGCGACAAGGGGTACAAGTGACCGACTGCCTGCCGTGGCCCGCTGTGGATTCCTGTGGCAGGTGGCAGGGTCCGAGAGCCAGCCACAGGTCAGCTAGGACTTCCCCTGCCCTGGCCCGAGCCAGCGTCGGCGCCCGTGGGCTTGCGAGGGGGCTTCCGTGGGGAAGAAGGTCGGGGCCGGCGCTGGGACAGCGGCCAAGGGCATTTCCCTTGGGCCGGGGGGACCGAGTGGGACATCCGCTGCTTGGGGAGGGGACGAGAAGGGGAGAGACGCAGGGTTTTAGCCAGCGAGGGGTGGGGGGCTGTGGCCGGCTCGGCCACCCCCTCTGCAGCAGCGTGACAGTCATCGATTGACAGTGGCTGACAGCGACGCTCTAAGACGCACAGCAATCACCGCTGGACCCCGGGGCTTGGAGGAGGAAGTACAAGCCAGGGGTCCACCGGGACCCTCACGGCGAGGCCTCCCCGGATCTCCCGCGCCCCTCCAGCCCCTCGGGGCCTCTGTGCGCGCTGCCCGCTCCGGAGCGCCCAGCAGTGGCCACGCGCAGGGGCTCCCGCGTCCGGAGGCCCGGCACTGCCTTCGGCCGCTGCGAGCTCGGACGTTCCTGACCCGGCTGCGGGGACACCGAGGCTGTCCCCACTCGGGATGGCCACGCGTTCTGGGCCGCAACCCGCGCTCGCCCAAGCCACACTCATCCGCCGGGCACCAGATGGCGCTCGAAGCCTGGTGGTCAAGGAGGCGGCCACGGCTCGCTCTGCTGGCCACGCAGCCGCGGGCTGGGGGGACGGCGGAGGGTGGGCGGGCTCCGGGGACAGCCAGCAGCCAGCGGGCGGCCGCTTCTTCCCGCGAGCGGCACGTGGGGCGCGCCCTGGCTCTCCGCGCCCGTGCCTCGGTGGGCTGCGTGCAGGTTCCCCAGGGACCCCAGCCACTCTGCCGCGCGGGAGGCGAGTGGAAGACGGGTGTGGGAAGGCTCGCGAGCTCCGGATGGATTTTTCCGGTTTCCAAGGATCGCCAGAGCGTACGCAACCGGGCGCGCGCGCACACAGGAGCAGAGAACGCGCTGTCCTACCTCCCCTGTCTCCCAAGCGTGGAATATTTACCGTCGGTGCCTTGGCAGCAAACACCTGCTGTCAGCGAGAGGGAAGGGATCTTTAGGGAAGGCGCCTCTCTAGGATTTTGATCCCCTAAGTGCAAAAAGGACAAGGAGGAGGCCCACTATTGTTCCTGCCTGGAATATGATTCTGGGAGGGAGTTATGCTTGGGGCTGTGGCAGCCAGTTTGTAACCATGAGGCAGCCAGCCCAGGGAGGCCAGGCCCACCTGGCCAGGAAGGAGACAGAAGATTGGGGCCTTAAAGACATGGCTGAGCCTCCATGGGGCCCAGGAGCTGCGCCCTGTGGACTCCTGGTAACAGGACATAATAAAATGCAGGAGCAGGCAACAGTTTTCAGCGAAGAGCTAGATTGGAAATGTTTAAGGCTTTTTGTGGGTTGTCCGGTCTCTGTTGCCTCCTGGCATGCAAGTAGTGGTGACAGCCTGTACATGAATGGGTGTGGTTGTGTTCTGATAGAACTGTCCATTAAACAGGTGCTGGGGCTGGCTTGGGGGGGGGCGCAGGTTAAGCTGTTGCTTGCGATGCTGTCGCCCCATATCAGAGGGCCAGTGGATTCCCGGCTGCTCCACTTCCCATGCAGCTCGCTGGGTGACCACGGCGGCCTGGCTCCCCCTGGGGAAGCTGTGCTCTTCACAGAGGTGGCGCTGCCCCATCCCTCCGCCCTCATCTGCCTGGGCCTTGCCCGGGGTGATCCCTCCCCAGTTGGGGGGTGAAGAGCTGGGTGTGGAGGGAAGCAGGGGCTCCCAGCCGTGCCCCAGCCACTTTGGTTATGGTGATGGGTCCACACGAGATTGCGAGGCCATGCGGGATCCCAGAGGAGACTGGACTGGGCAGGCGCAGACAAAGCCAGAGCCATGCCTGGTGCTTTCTCCGCCCCCTCCATCGGCCCACGTGCAGCCCCCTACTCTGGCTCTGGGTTTGGCCCCGCAGGCACTGCTGAGAGGAGGCGGACTTTAGGAGCCCTGCGAGCAGCAGCAACAGTGACACACACGGGAGGAGGGGCAGCACAAGTACTTGGGCCCCTGCAGGAAGGCAGGGGTCCAGCAGGAGTGGGGGTTGGGGTCTTCTGGGAGAGGGGCCCGGTTTGCCCTCTGCTGGGGCACAGGAAGCTGTGGCTGCCTCTCTCCTGAGCGCCTGGTGAACCCTAGCAGGTGCAGTGCTGGGAGAGAGGCGGGCTGTGAATGAGCCCCGGCTCCTGCCCCTCGGTTCCCTCCAGTGTGTGCTGGAGGCGGGGAGACCATGTCAGGGGGTCCCT